GTATGTGTCAGTCATGAAACTGGAAAAGATTAACCGAAACATAGCTCATTTTAATTATGAGAATAGTTCAAGCACTCATTTTCATGAACTGGTGTATAAAAGTTAGTGCAAAATATTGGTATGTATGCAAGGTAATTAAAATCCATTGATTCCTTTGACTTCAATCTTTCACATATAGAAGTTTTTGCTCAGGAATGAGCCAGGCTTATAAAATGGATTTGTCACAGCATTTTTTATGATGAAAGAGTAACTAAAATTTGAGGTAAGAAACAAAGAAATCAGCTTAGTAACTTTTATCCAGTCCTGCAAAGGGGGCAACTACTAAGGGAGGGTGATGTGACTGCTAACCTTCAGTAGGTCAACCTGATGGATCTGGAAGCAGCCCGGGGCACTGCAGATGACACTTTTGGGTGGATCTGGGTGACTCATGGAGACGTGGCCTTGGAGTCTATATCTGGTCCTGTGTCCTTTCCTCTGTGGCACTGGTCCACTGCTCTGGTCCCCAGAGCATGAAATGAGTAGCTTTCTCCACCATGCCTTTCCATCAGTGGCCTTGGGCCCAGCTGACCATCAGCTGAATCCCTCAAAATATAAGCCACATTAAACTTTTGCTCCTTTATATTGTGAGTGTTGAGAACTGTGTCCCAGCCAAGAAAAAGCTGCCTAACACAGTGGAAGACCTGGTGGACTCAGTTGGTCCTCCCCTGTGGGTGAAGGAGTGGCAGTGGCAGAGACAGCTCCTCCCTTCCAGCCACGCAAGACTGCTGAAAGCATGTGGTATCCCCACTCGGTGACATGGTGCCCTTCCAAGGCTCCAGCACAGGAAAGGCAGGTGGATACTGGAAACTGGTGACTCATTAAAGCCCTGAGTCGCCTCTTTATGCTATGGTTGGAACACCTGTTTTTGTATTTTTTTATTTAAGTGGTACATTTTAGATATATCTAATGATAACATTCACTTTAGGGAATTTGTACCTATACAGGAAATGCCTATGCTTAAATGAATAGACTCCAGGGGCCCCATATCAAATGATGAATTCAACAAAACCTCTTAGTGCCCTAAATCCTTCAAAGGTCAGAGAATGAGAGAGGAATGAGAGAGGACTAATGTAGACTGCACATTCTGTAGTATTTGGAGCCCATAACTGATGCACCAACAGAGTGACTATGTAATTTGTCATCCAAACCAAGATACTTTGTGGAGGAGCTACAGGAGCAGTTTAAATCACTCCTCTGAGGCAAGCAGTTTAAATCACTCCTCTGAGGCAAGCACTAAAAAACGGAACAATCCTAGGCAAACTAGGTTACAGTCACTCTGGCCATGGACCATACGTTGAGAAATACTTCCCATGATGTCACCACACACAGCTGCTCCAGCCATGCTCACAGAACACAGGGAGGAAAGCTGAGAGCTCGGGGGTTCTCCTGAAACCCCAGGATGCTATGAAGGTGTGGAGAACAGAAGGCTTCAGCAGAGCTTAGCCCAAGAGGACTAGACAACATCATTGTCACAGTACTGTCTGGGTCTGTTCTGCTCTACAGCTTGTCCCAGAGACTGAACGAGAGCATTCAGTGGCCCTCCTAGGGCTTTCCTGCCACGCCACACACTCAATGGGCAACTTCAGGCTTTGCTGGATCACAGACACCTCAGAGCACCATCACCTCCCTGATAGCACACTGTATTAGAGCTGTACAGGGGACAGGGACACTTCATGCCTCATCTACTCTCCCCAGAGCCATCTCGCACCATAATGGTGTTCATGAAACATTATATAGTCAGTCTGTTACTGATGTGTCCATTGTGGGCTCCAGATATTACCGTATGTCCAGTCTATATCAATCTCTGACAATACCAATGGGCTTTTCCACACTGCCTGTTTCTCCTTTCCCAAATATTCTATAGCTTTTTAAAAGACCATTCCTCCAAATTCAAGTCATTTGTCCATGTCCTTCCACCCTCATGCAGCATGATACATGCATGCAGGGTCTCCCCAGGCCCTCAGCCTTAGCTGACACAACCATCCACCCATGGAGAAGGGAGAGGTATCGGCCTCTCTACCAAGCATAGCACCAAATAGCAGTACATGGCTTGGCAGTGGCTGAGAGGCTGCTCTTCTAATGAGGACAGCACAAGCACACTGGATGGGAGTTGCCTGCCCCCTGTACCCTCCAAAGCAGCACAGACCTCCAGCCTGGTGATCCTCCCTCCTCTCAGCATCACCACACCTGGCTGTACCACCATCTCATCCTCCCAACATCCACAGTTCTGTATCTCTGGGGCTCCAAGCTCCATCCAGAGCTTCAGGATCCCTCTATAAGTGCAGGATAGAGAACCTAAACACCGGTTTGATGAGTGCAGGACCAAGGAGATGCCAGCTCACCTGGGGCTTGCAGCAAAGATGGTAACTGTAGCAGTATTCAAGAGAATTTTCCTCTTCAGTGAACCCAAGAAGGCGGTCAAGGTTTCTACCAAGACAGCCCCATTCTGCTGTGTTCAGAGAGAGTCCGGAGCCAAGGGAGAGTGAGCCAGTCAACCCATTCTTCAACTGCTTCTCTTCCCTCTGCCTAAGCTCTCAGCTCCTTCATTATATTTTTATTACATTTAATTCATTTCTTCTAACTAAAATACTTCATCACATTATATGAAAATGCCACTTTGATTTAGCCATTTCTTTAAATAACTAAAAAATAAATTGTATAATATGTGTAGAAAGCATGAAAGAACCAACACACACAATAACACTATTTGCTCTGTGGCTGTGTGTTTATGAAGCATTTTTGAAAGGATACAAGGTTACAGACTGTAATCACAATGATATTTTTTGAGAATGGGATTTGAACAAGATAGAGGTCATCAAAGAGGATTGGGCTTTATCTGCATTGTGCTTATGTCTTGAAGAAGATTTTACTCAATCATTGTATAGTTTAAAGCTAATTTAATTTTTAAAAATATGAAAAAGTGCTGCTGCAATATGTTAGTTACTAGGAATCCAAGATTCTCCAGAGAAACAGAATCAATAGGATTATATAGATATATGGAGATAGGTAGATAACCTCTGGATTAACAATAGTTCAACTCATGACTTCTTAATTTTATGATGGTATACAAGAAATATGCATTTCATGCTGACCGTATTTTGAATTTTGATTCTTTTTTTCATGGCTAGCAGAACACAGCATGACACTCTAAATGTTTGGCATTGCAATAAGCCACATGTCACCCTCAGGTGTACAATCATGAACAAAGGCATGGATCCTCTACAGTGCACTCTATTGTTGCAAAATTCAGTAAATTACTGGGATATTGCATTTGTCAGCTTCACTATCGCTGGAACCAAATACCTGACACCTGCACCTCAAAGCAGAAGAGGATTGTTAGCTCATGGTTCCAGTCCATAGTCATTTGGCTTCAAGGTAGAAGGGCCTGGCAGAGGACAGCTGCTCACCTCTTGGCATACGGAAAGCAGAAACAAAGGAAGAGCCAGAGAGGAAGGGGCTAGAGACCAATGTGGTGTCCAGGCCGCACACATCTGTGACCCAGCTAGACACACAGAGAAGTGTGCTTTATTAATCTCAAAATCCCTCAAGTCAAGCAAATTGACAGTCAAGGTTAACTGTCACAGATATTTGCCACTTTATTATAAAACAACCTTTGTATCAGATGATTTTATCCAAATGTAGACTAATGTTAGTGTTCTGACCACACTGAGAGCTCACAAGGTGAAGCTATGCTGCCCAGTAGGTTAGGAGACTTGAACACTTAGCATGATCATTCAATTTAGAATGAGTTTATGAGGGTGTAGCCCTATTGGAAGTCAGCTGATGAATGAGTTCTACCCACTTTAGGGATCATAATCTGCTTCACTTGAAGTCAGCTGATAGGTGTTAATCATTCCACAAAATACCTTCCCTGTAACATTTTAGATTTATATTTGACCAAACAACCAGCCATCATGGCCAAGCCAGACTGACAAGTAAAATTTAACTGCTGTGGGGTTAATCTCAGGTTACTCTTTTACCCTACTCAAGAGAATCAGTGGGGCTATAGACTCAGACTTCCACATTCTTAGGAAGATCCTGCCACCTTTCAGGTGGAGGTAATCATTGGGCCACTTGGCTGCAGATTTTACACTCTTCTTCTCCCCCGCCCCCTCTCCCTCCCCCTCCTCCTCTTCCTGGGGCCAATCCGGCCCCACCCTTAGTCTACCCTGGTTCAGAACCCTGGGCCTTTGCTGTTTCTGGGCTATGTATACAAAATGATAAAAATCTCCATTTTTCATGGAGGACTTGGTGTTTTAAATAAGTGGAATTCCTTCTGTTTTTTCTAATTATATATTATTCGATAGGACTCTAATATTACCATCTTATGAAATTCTGTCAAAGGAAAAAGAGAAAGGATAACCCATAATTATAGTACCCTAAAATAACTACTCTTAAAATTGAGTATACTTCAGTCTTTTTCCTATGTATATAATTTTGGAGAGTTGTAATTATACCCAACTTTAGCATGTTTTTCCACTTATCATTTTATTATAAGTATTTTTATGTTGCTACATAGTTTTATGACTGTCATTGTTAATAGCTACACAATAGTTCCCTGAATTGAAGTGCTTGGGATACTTAACTGTCTGTTCTCTTAAAGAAATTTCCAACTTCTCTTCACGATGTCCATCTTAGTGATTTTGTCATAGTAGTGTTCTCTTTAACACTTTGGACTCTTACATGGAGTAACAATTATTTGGTCAATGAATAAAACTTCTTGTGGTTTCTTCTTGACATATATTTCTCAACAGATTTTTTAAAAGGATGCATCAATTTTCCCTGCTGCTGACATCAGTGAGAAACATATCATTGTTGTCTCACATGTCAGGCTTCCACAGGTGGGGAAAAGGGACTCAGAGACCCACACACACTCCACCACCAATGCCTGAGCTATGCATCCTGCAGAGCCCCCTCATCCTGGCCTGTACAATGGTTTTATGTTGCTCTGTGTCTTGCAGACAGAGCAGTTGATAACCCTATGGGTGCTCTTTGTTTTCACCATTTCTGGGAATTCTGTCGTGCTGTTCTCCACATGGAAGAGGAAAAGGAAGTCCAGGATGACCTTCTTTGTGACTCAGCTCGCCATCACAGGTAAGCAGCTGTGCAGGTGGGAAGGGAGGACGCTGCACGCAGAACCCTTTGGCGGTTGCTTTCAATTATTCTACTGATGGAATAATCCAAAGGCATCAGCAAATTCAGGGGTAATTTCTAGAAGGATATGAAACCCATATTTCAATCTTTCCTGCAGCAAATTGAACACATTTAGATGTCCATAAGTTTCCATTATAAAAAACTTATTATACTACAGACTTGAAAATGCCTTTAGTAGTGTCACCAGAGGTTCTGTAAGGTTTCACTTATCATATCACCCCCTATTAGGAGCATAAGAAATGTTTCCTAGAAAATGGACCAAAATGGCCTGCATTCGCTAATAAAATGTGAAGTCCCCAGCAGCTTAGACCCTGTGAATACTGCTTTTGAGGCCCCCATGAGGCACAGAAGCCCTGCAGGAGGAAACAAGCTGATACCCAGGATGTGGATGCTACCCCTGAGCTTTGGGGACGAGCCCGTACAGGCACGCACACATCACATCTGGAAGGGGAAGGGACAAGGGAAGCACCACCAAGGAAGAGCCCCACAGGAGGAGGCCCAGTTGGCAGCGTTAGTGTCCAAAAGGATAAAAGAGCACACCCAGAAGAGAGTGCTGTTCCATGAGCCAGGGTGGAAAGCGTGCAGAGGGCACACACAGGAGGATGGGCCCCAGCATCTGGGAGCAAGTGGCTGTCATCTTGGTTTAATTTTGAAGAGACTATATGGAAAATGTCCTCAAACAAGAAAGTTGTAAGTGCTAACAAAGACGATGGTGGACAGCTCTCTAAGGGGCTGTGATACATGTCAGCCTGGATCATCATCTCAGCTACAGGCACGGCACTTGAGTTCTGGGGAATTTATTCATGAGTCACAATCTGAAAAACATGACACAGATTTATAAGACAATGTTATTACCCATTGGTGAAAACCCGAAATCTAACGAATTGTAGCAAGCCCAACTACTTGAGCCAGGCTAGATGAGCTGAAAAACAAAAGCACTATTAAAAAGTATAAAGAAAATAAGAGGAGACTGAGTCACCCAGGTGGGACATGAGATAGAAACAGTTCCTTCCATCTTGCTTACGCACAAGGAATCCCATCTTCCACTCTTAGGACTGTAGGAGGGGAGCATAGTTAGCACGATGTGCCCATTACCATGATGCAACCTCCTGCCTGAGGCTGTCACAGTTTTTTTTTTTTTTTTTCCTTTGTTGGAAGGTATCATCATATAGCTACTAACAGCTAAAACTTGAGGAACTCTGACACCTTTATTCTTTCAAAACAGAAGTTAACGTGGGAGGCTGAAAAGCTGAGTTTGCTCTCGCAAGCACAGATGCTTCAGGAAAGACCCGAACATTCTGATGGAACTGCCCAGGAGCCATCCTACAAGGAAGACAGCTTAAATGAGGCCAGGAGTACAGTTCAGTGGCCAGTGCTTGCCTAGAATGAGTTAGATCCTGGATTCAATTCCTAATAGTAAGAAAAGTCCTCAGAGTGAAGTAGAAAAAGTAGAAATGGGTGAAATGAGTACATTCTTCACGTGTGAAGATCAGTCCTGGAGACTGAGCAGAAGACTGTGGTTTGAAGATCCCCCAAAGTTTTCAGGTTGGGAACTTAGCGCTCAGAGGAGATGTGCCAACAGGTGGGGCTTTTAGAGATGATTAGAGCAGGAGGGCACTGCCCTCACAGTGAACCAATGCTGCTGCTGGGGAGTGGGTTTCATTTAAGAAGAGGAGCTGGGCTTCCCCCCCCCTCTTTCCTTCCTCCTCTCCTTTGTGATTCTCTCCCCCATGTTATGATGTAGCAGACCCTCACCAGATGCCAGCACCTTGACCTTGGACTTCCCTCCCTCTGAAACTGTGAGGGAGTACATGTTTATTCTTTTTTCAAAATGCTATTTTATTTATCAGTGCACGTAATATGCTGGAAGTTAAAATTGGTAAAAGTCTTGAAATCATAGATATAAACAAGGACTTTCTGAACAGAACCCCACTTGCACAGGAAGTAGCATCAAGAATCAACAAGTAGGATCACATCAAATTAAAAAGCTCTGCACAAAAAGGGAACAACCAACAGAGTGAAGAGACAACCTACCGAATGGGAAAACATTTTACTAGCTATTCCTCAGACAAAGGACTAATATCTGGAATACATAAAACCTTAAAACTTCCTATTCTTGATAAATTATTCAGTCCCAAGGATTCTATCATTGTAGCACAAAATAGATTAAGATAATTCAATAAGGAAGCAAGCTAAAATACAGTGAACATAGCTGTATACTTTATCAAAGCTTTGAAGGCTCACAATGCCTGCTGGCTCACTTGTGGCCTGTCCATATGTTAGCATTTTGCTTTGGAGGAATTCAGATGAGGACCTGAGGGTTTCTAACACCAGTGAGGCTCTTTTTGCTGTTTTGCCTACAGTTGCACAGATGTGTGACCCGTGATATAATCCATGAAACTATATACGTGTGCTTCTGTGCACTTTCCCCACGTGTTCATTTACAAAATGCAGCACATCAAAAGAAAGCAGGGTGATGGTATCAGTGCCTTCAGGGGTCCAGCAGTGATGTCAATATGTGGAAGAATGAAGGAACAGTCACCCTAATCCAGGTGACTGAAGAAAGACTCCCTCACCCATAGCTTCAGATTCAATTTTTGTCAACCACCCACACATGCAGGGCGGATTCGGCCCTTGGCTTTCTTGTTTACAATCACTGATATTTGAAAAGTTTGTGCCAGCATAAAATTTGAGCTGGCTGTAAAGATGAACCTGGCCTTCACTCTTAGAGGCAAAAAATTCATCTTTTTGGGTTATTTTGGGGGAGTATAATGGCAAGGAAATGGGGAGCTTAACATTTCTGCATGTTTGAAATTTTTTTCAATCCATTCCCTGCATTGAAGTCAGTATGTTAGGACTTGCTTCTCCAGCCTTCTTGTTGTGATTTATTTTTAGACAACTGAACTATTATTTTATGCCTCAGAGGCCATAATGGTGGGAATTAAAATACAAAGGTAACTTTCCTAGAGACATCAGTCCCATTAGTTTACACTGTGAAGTCTTCATGATCATAGATGACATCTAGACCAAAAAGAGCCATCCAAATCAGCACATGTGCCTGTCTGCTTGTCATCAGAAATCTTCCATCAGAAGACCCTGTTTCAAGTCTCCCTAGATGAAGAAACACAGTGACCAGACATGGCCCTGGGAAGCTGGCAGTGAAACTGCGGCTGGGTTAAGCTCAGCAGGACGAACTGTCCCCACATGAAGATGTGGGTGTTACTTCCATGACCCTGCAGAGCTAACCCACTCCATAAACATAGCTGTCATCATTTGAGTGATTTCCTCTGCGTGTCTAGAGGGAGATATTCTAGTCTGCTACAGCAAAATAGCACAGACTGCATGGCTTAAACAGAAGAAATTGATTTTTCAGTCTTGGTGGATGGAAGTCTCATATTATCTTCAAGTTCTGATAAGAACTGGATTCCTGGCTTCTGGGTAATTCCTTCTTGTGTTCTCAGATGACCTATCCTCAAATTCAGCACAGAGAAAGTGGGCTGTCTGGTGTCTTTCAAGGACAAAGCTCTATCCTAATGTTCCCATTTAACCTTAATGCTCTCCTTAAAGATCTTATCTTCAAATACAGTCACATTGAGGGTCACAGATGCAACACATGAATTTAGAAGCAGGACAATGATCAAATCCATAACAAATGAGAAGAAAAAGGTGCATCAGAGGGCTGAGTGGATCCAGACTGGGTGCAGCACCCCTTGCAGGGAACATGAGCCCAGGAGGCCATACGGTAACAGCGAGAGCTGAGGGTGCTGATGGCAGTAGCTTCGTATGCTTCTGCTGGGCCACCTCCTCTCTGCTGCCAACTTCATCATCACCTCCTATGGCAGTTGTTACAAAGCCACCTGAGGTGTGTGAAGTAAGAAACAGTCTGTGGCTATGTTTATCCAGACAAAGAAAGACTAGGAAGTTTTCTGTGTTGTCACTGGAGGATAAAAGTGTTGCATCACAGAGACACTTATTTAAGAATGAAAGGAGAGCAGTGGAAAGTTATAGAATGAGAGGTCTCTACAAGGTCAGAATGGGTTTCCTGAGTACACCTGAACACAGGAAGAGAGGAAGGACATGTTCTGGGAGAGATACACTCAGATGAACACTGCAGAGATGGTGTGACTCAGGGTAGCCAAAGCAGGTGACAGGAAAGATCAGTGGCAAATAGGGTTCACAGTAATAGAATTAAAAGTGCTTAGTGTGGACCAGGCTGCACGCTAAATGCTACATGTAGATTAAACTTCACATTGATCCACATCCTAGAATGCCCATAAGCCTCTTTTCATGGTCAAGGGAATTGAGACCTTGTCCTGTGTCATACAATGGATGTGAGACCAGAGGTTCAAACTCAGGCAGTTTCCCTTCAAGGCCTGAGCTTTTAATCATTGCAAGACACATCTTCCCAGTGATGTGTGACCAAAGTGGAGGGGGGGTAATCCGTTGGTGCACTGAACCACTTCAGGATAATAGAACCTGATTAGTTGTTGAAGATTTGAGAATCTGGTGCTAATATATTTAATAAATAAGTAGCAGTGAGCAGGCAGGAACTAAGAGTATTTAAGGGCAGGAGGATGGAAGCACTACATAGTACCCTGTGAGAAATATTTAGAAGTGCTATGGTTCAACTAACAATATCTGCAGCTGAGCAGGTGACTGTATGACCAGCCTGGTCAGTGGCCGGGATTGACTTCCTAGTGGGTGTCTACCTGTGTAGGGCAGGCCACCAGGAGGCCCCTGCCTCAACTCCAGAGTTTCCCAAACTTGTTCCCAGTTGCTGAAATGTCGGTCTCCGGAGACCCACAGCTCTGAAAACACTCTGCTCGTCTCATCATATGTACCACATGCTACCCTTCTGTTTGCCCTTACCTCCCAGCGTGACAAAGTTTCTGACAGCCCTTAGAAAACAGATTGTCCTGGGGAGAGCAGAAAGTAAAGGG